CGTCGCTGATGACTTCGCTGATGACTCCTACTAGGCGACATCGTCGCCCGGGTGCTTGAATTCTACAGTTGGTGAGTCGCATGCTATTTTGTTTCCTCTGGTCCTCAACCATGTTGTAGGATGAAATATCCGAATCAACACGGGTGACCAGTTGTATACTTGGTATTTTTGATGAGTTAAGTGACCGCGGGTATGAAAAATACCCATGAGTTATATTTTTTTAGTGCAGGCTAGGGTCTTCTTGCACTCGCGTTTTTTAATGTTATCAATAAATATTACACAATATGATTATTACACAATTTTGATAAAATATATGAAATATGTTTATTATCTTTATATGAATTAAATAATTGAGTAGAATATGAATTAATATAATGTGAAAACATTATATTAACCGTGTGATTGAGTAAAATATCTTACATCATTAATATAATTATTAAATATTCGTTTTATTAATTAATACATCATATGATGTATTTTATGTGCAAGAAGGCGTTTCGCGACTGGTCGATTTTCAACTCAAAGGAACATGCATGTTAATTTTATTTTTTTTTAAATTTACTTTGACGACAGAATCGACCATGGTTAATTAAATATTTTGGATAGTAATTTAACAAATTTATTTCAATTTGCAAAGTAAATTATTTTATCATGAAATCTTTATTAAAGTCTTACATTTTGAACAATTAAATTTCAATCACTTCTTGAATAATAATATCTTTCAATATTAACGTACTCTGTTGTTGATATATTACATATAACAAGTCGAGTCATTTTAATTGAGAATAGATACCGTTTAGTTAATCATTAATAACCAGTTGTTCTAGTCAGGATTTTCAGGATACTTTTCCGTGTTCGTTGCCTAAGTTCATGCACATGCCCAAGTGTTATTTGCACGAGCGAAGGCAACGGGGCACGATGACTTAGTTTGTAACATTTACAATAATAATTTATCCGTGCGACTGACAATGCTAGTGTATCGTGCACGATGTACTGTCCACATATGTGTGTTTGTGGTTAGGTTGTGGAAGTGCATCGTATCAAAAGTTCATTACAATTCAGATACAGAATTTTTTACCATTAGATTTATAACAATCGTAATAATAATATTAAACTTATAGTTATTATTTACTTGGCAATTGTTCGTATTGCATATACGTCAATGATATTGTTAAATGCATAATGAATTAGCTTTTCAATCTTATATAATCATATATGTATGTATAGAGTATATTTTAATAAAGACTATATCAGATATATTAAAATGTTTTACATAAATAATAAAAGTACGCAATGGGCACTAGCTTTGTCAGTCCACTGCAAAAACTGGTACGTACACAATTAGAGTATGAATGAGGTTGTGTCCAGGTGTCGGAGGAATCCCGGAGAGTCCTCTCTAGTTTAGGTCGCGCCCGGACATTCAGTATGAGAACCGTGGAGTGTTTGTTTGAGAGACTGAGTTTTGCAATTTTTTAAATATAGGGTTAGGTAGGTAGGTAACTTATTCTCTGGTGTGTGTGTTTAAACCTAAGTAGGTAGGGTCAGGGCAGGACTGTCCACATTAGTAATTCGGGTAGGCGCGTTTTCGCGTGGCAGTTCTGTTCCTGTAGTTACGATTTCGAGAGTAGAAATCTTGCTGATTCAAACGGTGCACTTGTGCTGTTTGTTTCGGCTTTATTTTCGACTCCTCGAATCGCGCGACTTTTAAAGTCGCTCTCTCGCGCTCGCGGTCGGGATTAGGTCCCTTTCGAAACGTTCGTCCCGCTCGAGATTCACCACGTATGCTCTTGCAACAATTCGTATATTGTTGGAAGACTACGTGTTGCACAAAATCTCGAGCCCGGTCTTTCGTAAGTTTCAGGCATCGGCAGGACCGCCGAAGAAAGAAAAGGCTCTCGATGAGCCGAAGAGGCCCTGACAAACTGTCTCAAGAGTGGGCTGCAACAAATGGCTTTTCATCTTCATCCTCGGATGAGAATGGAAAGTCATTCCTGTTACTACTTTGTCACTTAACTCGTCTGTAGTTGTAGTTAGTTTATTTTTCTGACTGGCTCACGTATGCATGTACCTGATGGTACATGATTGCACCATACATGCCAGCCATCCCTCCCCATAACTCGCGGTTATGATATACATAGAGTAGCGAATATGCAATAATCGCGTTTGCTTGTAGAGTTGCGAATCACTGTTTTTCGCGTTTCCTTTTCAGGGTAGTGTTGCGCCTTGACACGATACGCGATTGGTTTTTTGCAAACTTAGGTACCGAATGTTTGCTTAAAAATAGCGTTACGAATTATTGATAAACGCGATTGCTCGTAGAGTTGCGAAATACTATTTTTCGCGTTTGCTTTTCAGGGTAGTGTTGCGAACAATCACGATTCGCGTTGCTTTTTTACTCCTTTATATATATAATAATGGATGTCAACCGCGTTTGTAATTTTCACGTTATAAATTAGCGTTGCGATCTTGATTAATCGTGCGATTTTTTATTTAGCGTTGCGATATTTTCAATGCCCAAATTCTACCCTAATTGTAGTACTAGTAGTAGTTAGTTTATTTTGTAGCCAGTACATGTCTATGCACATGTACCAATAGCCCCTGATTAAAGTTAGAGTTGCGAATAATATACAATGTTCGCGTTTGCTCGTAGAGTTGCGAACAAATATTTATCGCGTTGATATATTAGTGCTGCGAATAAATACGATTCGTGATTGTCTTTATGCAAACCTAGGAACCGGGCGTTTGCTTTAAAAATAGCATTGCGAATTTTTAGTAAACGCGATTGCGAATTAGAGTTGCGAATTACTATTTTTCGCGTTTGCTTTTCAGGGTAGTGTTGCGAATAATTACCATTCGCGGGTTGCTTTTATTCTTACAAGTCGCGTTTGGAATTTTTTCTATTATAAATTAGCGTTGCGATTGTTGATTTATCGCGTTGTTGCCCCGTAGTGTTGCGATATTTAAAACGTCTAACTTCATCCCCATATGTGCCACTCTATTGTAGTTTGAAGTAGCTTGATGTAGTTAGTTTCTTTGTACAATTTTATTTATTGTCTGACTTATGTTTCAGGGAAACATCGTGGGATTAATCAAGACACCAAGAAGAAATATTTTTTCATATTTATTTGTTTTATGAGTTTTATTGGATATGAGTTTTTGTTTCAGGAAAACATCGTGGGATTGACGAAGACACCAAAAAGAAAATACCTTCTCATACTTCTTCATGTTTTTATAGATTGCGTTAAAATATAACTATAAATGTCTACAGATTATATGATAAATTCTTATTATTATACATATATAGCCTTATTAAGTACTACCGAAACTCAAACATATATTTAAGTAGAAACGACTAATATTGAGGTACATACTAGTATTTTACTAGACAGGTATCATACGGTTGCACGTTTCTACTTCGTTCTTCAGTGTCTTATTAGATACTATCGAAATACAAGCGTCCATTTAAGTAGGAACAATCAATTAGAAAGTACATACTGGTATTCTAATAATCAGAGTTTGTACGTGCAATTGCATATTTCTATTTCATTCCTAGACACCATGTGGTGGATCATCTCACATGCATCGACATTTTGATCTGTTTGTCAAGCAGCTCTTCTGAAAATGTTTTCTTTGTTGTTCGCTTTTAACAACGGTCGAATTTCGATCGCTTTTCTCTTAGGAAAAAATATCCAAAGATATTAGGTTTCCTCATCAATGGAGGGTGGTTGGGGTGAGGATTGGGTAGGTCCCATTCGCAGCAACCTCCACGTGGTGAGACCTGGGTAATATTATTTAACATTTAATTAATAATCGTATCACTCTTAGCCGGATAATACAATTATTGATTAAAAACTAAGTAATATGTGCAACTTGGCTGCGATCCGTGTTGCATGGGTTATCATAAATATAGAGCTTCTTCACTACTTTAGTTTTGATTCTCATAGTTGATAGCGCTGCAGTCTTATTCCGTTCTGAATCGATAATGCTGGACTCGACATCAAAATGGTAAAAAGTTTATATACTCGGGTCAACGAGACGAGTCAGTGAAGAAAAACAAAGTTTTCGATGTGGTAGATGCTATGACTGCAGTCATTGACTACCAAAGGATACTTATGAGTCACATTTAGGGACGTTTGTTTTTCGTTTGCTGACTCGTCTCGTTAGCCAGGACACAGACGAGGTATACGATTTCATTTTCTGTCTCACTTCCTCTTGTGTTCATTTCTATAACCTGTTGGTAACGTAGCGACTGATACGAAAATGGTAATGGGGCTCTAAAGCATAATCAAAGGAGCTTCGTATGAATACAGTTTTCAATAGTATCTGCCATGAAATTAATTAGAAATTCATACGAAATTCACCGAATTGAGACAAAATTTTATTTTTAGCAGTTGCCGTCCAATTATAACGTTTTCTTACAATGATAACATAACTAGAAGAAACATTGAAAATGATTGGTTTAGGTCGTTAAAATATTTTAGGATGAAATATTTTCATCGATTTAATTTCCGTAGCATTATTTTGAATAATAATTTCCTCATTGCCGAGTTTTTTTTATCGTTGAAGATTATCCTGCACATAATTCTAATAATAAAATAAAATCGATACTGTATTTCTAAAACGATTCTATCACCTTGTCAACAATGTTTTATTCCAGGAACATCGAGGTTATCGAGCTTTTAATCGTCGTATTTTACACGACTGATCCGCCGCGAGTGTATATCGACGAGCGCGCAGACTCGCTGTGGACGCAAACGTGTAACGCGACGAGGCACGACGAGGCGAGACGAGACGAAACGAAACGAAACGACGTTGCTAAATATAATACTTGGTAGGCACGCGATTTTCTTACGACTGGGAGCAGCACGACGGTCATCAACTTCCGAAAGTGCAAACGTTGTCCTCGGTAGTGATCTTGTTGTCGTTGCCCCGTTAGTACGTTCCTCGCGCAGAAGCCGGGACGTAGAAGGCGAACAGACGACGCGTAGTGTCGAATCGAATCGAAGCACGGCCGGTCTGAAAGAAAATCTCGTTGGTTTTGTGATTCCTCGACTGTGAAGGTTTCCCGAGGTCAATTTTATGTGTTTTACGCGTTCTGCCGATGTTGCTTCTGTCACGTGGTAACCGGTTGAAATACAAGTAAGTCGTTGTTTTGAATAAAGGAATATCGTTTATCATAAATGGTACAGTGTCATCGTGTTTATTATGAATCGTTTAGTTATCAAAGAACGCAAGTGGAACCTAAATTAAAGATTGAAGATACATACGTTCTTTTTCGATTCTATAACCTGTGGAACGCAACTACCGACGAACGCAATAATCAATGAAAAATATTAGTGTAGTAGATAGTGGCATAACGAAACAAATTATTTAAGATTTTCTTCGTTTATAACAGCTGTTGCTTGGCCTCATATGTTATGTTTGTATATTTACTACGAATTATATATCGTTACAAACCAAATTAGCAGTATCACTGGTCGCGTGACTATTTCCTTTTATATTTAGACAGAACGTGAATGCATAAATGTCTGCATTAAAGTCGCCTTGTACCTTTCGCACGATTAATTGAATTGCACGTATTAGATTCGATCGTTTTGTCTTCTAATGACATTCTGGGACTTGTCACATTTATTTTCATGCGTTCCCGACGGGTCGTTTCGAACACGTTAACGGTGAAGTATATTTTTACCGAATGCAGTGAACATTTAAATACATTTATTTCGTTATCACGATAAGTTAGACAAATTGTACTCAATGAGTAATACACAGTGTAGTTTAGAAGCTTTTGTAAGATAATTAACGTATTCCTTGTTTCGCTTTATTTAACGTGGCGTTGCAGGATGACGTAATAACCGTAGCATTTTTTTGAGGACTCCAGCGAGCGCAAGAATGACGCAACCCGAGCATTGTTTGGACAGTCCTTTTCAGCCGTGTACGTTTAATGGATTAGGGGAGAAAATCCGTGGCGTAGCTATAGAAACAACGTTCGTAGATTTTGTCGATCAATAAGCTGTACAAAGGAGTCAGTCAGCGTGTACAGTTCGTAAATATGATGACTCCTTCGGATTGCGTTTGAACGCCTTCAACGTATTAAGCTGCGTCCCCACTGGGTCGGCACGGCTCGGCATTTGCCGATCGGCACAGCGTTCGGCAAAAGGCGGCACGGCCGTGCCACTGCTATGCACCGCGGCAAAGCCATTTCAGTACACAAAAAATGTACAGTGACGACGAAGTAATAACTGGTGCTGCTGCAGTTATAGTAATAGCAAATGCAAAAAAAATGCCTAAAAAACGAAGATTTTGGATGCGTCCGAGTTTACGTAGCAGAAGAATATACAGGGTGTTCGGCCACCTCTAGCAAAAATTTTAATGAGCGATAGTAGAGGCCAAAATAAGACGAAAATCAAGAATACTAATTTGTTGATGGAAGCTTTGTTAAAAAGTTATTAACAATTAAATTCAAAAATTTCAAATCGTTCTGGAAAAATTATTTTCGGTTGCGGGGGTCAACTACAATCATTTTTGGTGAGTACACATACCTCCGAAATCCTATCTACTTTCGAGAAAAAAAATCGAGTAGGTGCTGAAATTTTTCGGCGAAAAAAAATTTTTCAAATCGTTCTAAAAAAATTATTTTCGGTTGCGGGGATCAATTACAATCATTTTTTATCATTACACATACCTCCAAAATCGTACGCACTTTCGAGAAAAAAATTCCTTACTGAAAATCCAATTAGGTGTCTAAATTTTTCAACGGAGAAAAAAAATTGCAAATCGTTGTGTATAGCCATAAAACAGCTGTCAAACACGCGCGGCCACTCGTCGCGTCCTAATCCGGAGTCCCGTTTTTTCTTCGATAAATTAACGTAGCCTTCGACTTGGGGAGAAAACCTCGGGCACCCTCGTTCTGGGGGTGACCTGGAAGTCTTCCTCCACCACGTTCAGTTATGAGGAAAGAGTTTTCCTCCCAAACGGGGTGTGAAAATGGGTCCTCCTTCCCTTAGTCGATGACCAATCGGTCGAGCTAAAAGTTAATACCAAATTCGGTTGACACCCCCAAAATCGCGTATCGGAGGAAGAAACGGGCTCCGGAAACATCGACTATGCAAAAATATGGGCACGAGGAAAAAATCTTTCGCCTATGACCATATTTGGTTACAAGACGGGGCTTTATGGCCCTGCCTGGGCCTTTCAGAACTGGAGGTAGCAATCGTCGCGCTGTGAAATTTTCCGTTCGATCGCGAAAGAATACCAATTTGTTGATGGAGGCTTTGTTAAAAAGTTATTAACGTTTAAAGTTCCTGTATCTTTGTATCTCGATGATGGTTTTGGAACGAAATTGACATGAAACTTTCGTGCTCTCGTGTCTTGGCACGATCTCTTTTGATGGTTACCGACATCGTGCCGATCGACTCGTCGGCATGCCGTTCGGCTTTTCAAGCCATGCTATCCAAGACGATGCAGTGTTTGGCTTTGCCGAGAAGTACTTAGGGTGCCGATCGGCCGTGCTAGATGACAGATGCGGACGCAGTGTAGACGCAATTCTCGGCTTTTGCCGATCGGCCGTGCCGAACGGCAAAAGCCGACCCAGTTGGGACGCGGCTTTACGCTCACATACCGCGTAACCGTGTGTCGCGCGAGTGTAAACCATAGATCGAATTTCATCGGAGAACAACCTCATCATCGTCGACTTCGTCCGCGAATCACCACCGAGTTAAACCCAAGCGTGAATAAAAATTCCATTTTGTGTTTTATTGTTTCTTTACTTGACGCTGACACGTAGTTTCGGTCGAGAAAATATTACGAAGCTAGGGTAAAATTGCTACACAGTGGGGTTAGGAGACCCCCAAAACTGGCGAAAAATTCGGAAAGCGAGAGAATTCGCATATACAGGGTGTTCGGCCACCCTGGGAACAATTTTAATGAGCAATTCTAGAGGCCAAAATAAAACGAAAATGAAGAATACCAATTTCTTGACTAAGACTTTGTTAAAAAGTTATTAAAAAAATTAAATTTAAAAATTTCAAATCATTCTGAAAAAATTATTTTTGGTTACAGAGGTAAATTACAATCATTTTTGGTGAATAGACATAGCCTCGAAATCCTAATCATTTTCGACAAAAAATTTCCTTACCGAAAACATAATTTCAAGCCAGAAATGTCACTCCAGCACTTCATGCGTATCTTAAAAACGTCATAACTTCTAAATGGATTAGAAGATTTTAATATTTCAAACGGCGAGCAACGCGTATTTTGGTGAAGAATATGTAGAAATTCTAGCAATATTGAAAAAGTTATTCCTTGACCCCGTAAAGTTAGAAAAAGCCCATAAAAATGGTCCAATTTTCAAACGGCCATAACTCCTACAATAGTAAAGGTATCTCATTGAAATTTTCCCCCGAATCAGAGCCCATGAGTACCTACAAAAAAGTATTAGACAACTTTTCTGTAGAGCATCGAACAAATTTATTACAAATTAAAAAGGAATTTTTAATGCCTAAATTTTTCGGTGAAATTGAAAAGTTTTAAAACACTCTGGAAAATTTATTTTCGATTGCAGGGGTCAATTACAACCATTTTTGGTGAATAGACATACCCCCGATATCCTGTGCATTTTCGAGAAAAAAATTCAGTATGGGCGGAACTTTAAACGTTAATAACTTTTTAACGAAGCCTCCATCAACAAATTGGTATTCTTGATTTTCGTCCTATCTTGACCTCTAGAATCTCTCATTAAAATCTTTTCCAAGAGTGGCGGAACATTCTGTATTATTTGTAGATAATTAATTATAATTAAATGGTATAATTTCACAATGCAAATCTTTTTACTATATTTTTCGACTCAACGATATGTTCTTTGCGACACGAAGTCGTCTCATTCGATTATGTCGATTCCATTACACATGTGTTACATATCATTCATGCATGGGGCTGAAACGTTTGGTGACTTGGGCGTTGGCTCGAGCATCTAGCGTGCAACCTTTTGAACGGGGTTGACTCATGCCGTATGCGCACACCCGGCCCAATTTTCATTGCCTTTTATAGTAATGTCCCGCCTTAGTACTGAGCATTTTCAACTATATAAGGGCCGCGGTTTCTTACTCGGGGAGCTCAGTTTTACCTAAACTCTTGGCACGACGTTACTGTGACACTCAGGGCAAGATCGGGCTATAATCCCCTTCAAGCAACTATCTACGACTATCTACCTTAGCGGTTTATCAGTGAGTGTCCAGTAATCGAGTGCGAGCTCCCGCGAACGCGCCGCGTAAAAGCCGATAGCAAATCTTTCGCCTTCGAGGCAATTTAGCAATTGTACAACTTCTTGTAAATCCATAGCTGTACTTGAGCATCGTCAAAAATATATATTCAAGTTATTATTCCTTACGTGTGTTACTCACTCAAAGCAACCCTGAACCATATTAACCGTAAGGCTAGGGGTATCTCACGAACCCGGTACACCTTTACCGCTCGAGGTGTACCATCACGACAGAGAGCAAGATCCTAAAACATCCTAAACCCCTACGTGGCTCCCAGGGTATAAAGCCCCTGGTTCGTCCACTCCTACTAGCGGCTCCCAGGGTATAGAGCCCCTGGTTCGTCCGTGAAACCATTCATTTTCCCTATAAATCTAACCCCGTGGCTCCCAGGGTATAGAGCCCCTGGTTCGTCCACGTAACCTTCACCTACGGCTCCCAGGGTATAGAGCCCCTGGTTCGTCCACGTAACCTCCACCTACGGCTCCCAGGGTATAGAGCCCCTGGTTCGTCCGGACCTCCTTTCTTTTCCTAACCATACCCAAAACCACCGGTCGAGTACTGCCCCTCGACCGAATCCAGGATCTCGCGCTCCCGCTCGTAACACATGCATCCAGACTCAATTATCCTATTGCTATTCGCCAAATTCCTACATCAAATGTACCATCGAAACATTCGATCCTTTATGTACATATGAAATATAGTTTATACACTATACTGTGCATTTTAAGCATAAATACGATAAACAAGAAAAATATATTATTTTATGTTACATTATAGTTTTTACTTAAGAAAGATGCAAAAACTATTTATTGTATACGTTTACTTAAATAATAAGAAACGTAGAAATAATCAATTGTGAGATCTCAAAAATATTTGGATACTATGCAAATTAACCTTGTAGAATAAAACCAACAGTCTTTAATCGGGAATAAATATTTTGTAAAATATCAATTTTGTTGTAATTATATAGTTTTCAAAATCATGGTTTTACGAACAAAGTAATAATTTTTGGTACTTGAAATAAATCATCTTTAAACAAAACTATATAATATTGAAAGTGCAAATACTTTCCTCACCAATATTTCATAATTTTTATGCTAATAATTTACGTTTTTTACAATGGTCGTTTACTGGGCAGTTTACTTCGTATTTAAAAACCTACGGGGAATATGACAACTAGATTTCTTGCGTTTGTTCGACAGATATGAATATCCCGAAGTCTGAGGGTCTTTTATCAGTGGTTTTTCCTACCGAACTCGCGTCTTCGTCCAGTTCACGACAGCTGATTATAAACCAAGACCAACAGGTGTGTTCGACACAAATAACCTTTTGTTTCCCACTTTACCGTTCTTTTGTCTCTTTGTACGCTCTACTTCATACGTGACACAGCATGTTTAATCACCCCTCGACGAAAATCGTTTGTAAGATTTATGATTTCTAACTATGTTTCTATCTGAGTGTGTACATAAACATCCCAGGTTTATCTTGGAAAGAATGTCTCTTATGTTACTGCCTGACGTTTATAACAGTTACTTTGGACGCATCGTAAACTGCTAAAGTTAACGTTCATAATTTTACCACTCTTTTTCATTTCGTATTTTGTCTTGCTTACGCTAAAACATGTTGCTGTTGCGATGATCACGCTGAAACAAAATGGTTGAAATGTACCCATGTTGCTTAACAGGATGAAGAAGCATCCGATTGTCCACTTTTAACACCTAGTCCACCACTGATTCGTTCGGATGATACTTTGGAGTCCGGTGCGATTTATGTGTCTCTGGAGGGGAATCCTGTGGAATCGATTCCGCCACTCGAAAATATTAACAAGGAGGATGGGCTCAGCGAGTTCATGAACATAGTGAACAGTTCGAGCAAAGCTCTAAACGATGGTAAGTTTCCTTCGTTGGGTATAACATATTAATATAAAAATTAGGTTTTTAACCCCCCTGTGAACTATGTACTACCACACCATAACGCGTTCTCCCCAGTGTTTAATCCTTTGCTCTACAATTACGAGTCTGACTCGTCACAAGTTCTCGATACCAAATTTCACATTAACACTTTGGCTGCCACGTCACCCATATATGGGTGACAAGACTTTCCCACTATGGAACTAAAACAATTTATTTTGAAATTTAAATTGAATTGTTAAATAAATTGGTATAGGACGAAGTTCAACGTGGTTACGAAAATAAGTACCGAAGACAAATTTTAAGTTATGCAGCTTACAATTATTTAAAATTGAAGTTTTGATCTCGTAGAAAATTGTACGGTTTTGGTGTGGCAGTCAACGTGTTAATGCGGCTACACTCGTCATCGAGTCTTATATCTCTTTGGGGCACGCTGGGGTTAAATGTGTCCCACCTTTTTTATGCATCGTAATGCATGGTATTGTAATAGCTGCATGCGCTTAGGTTTATATTTCGTCTTATTTACGTAACGCAGTTGGTAATATCTTCAACAAATGTTACAAATGTATTCACTTGTGTTGGCAACATTCAACATGCCAATACAGGTTCGTCAATTGTTGCAAGCGGAAGGTTTATTCCGACAACTATTAGTATTTGTTTTTTATGCTTTTACATTATGTGATATACCAATTTTGTTTAATTTAAAACGCTATAAAATTTCTATGCAACATGGGTCTATTTTATTATCTGAAATTCTGTGCCGCGAAGAGATATATTAAAATAAACACATTTTTTGTATTCGTAAAACAAATCTGTTCTTTTTTGTGGTCATTCCTCTTATGAACAAATTGGAATAGAATTAAATAGTGTACATTTGAAAAATGATTTAAAATTACATCGCACGTCAAAGAGTTAGTAATACTGTGCAACACAAATTCTATTTTGTAATATACATTTAGCGATCCTAAATTGCTCCATCAATCTTAGTTTTGAAAAAACATGAATTGTTGTGAAAACCCTCGATTTCAGGCAAAAACAGGGTATGTATTGCGTGAAAACGAGATCCACTGAGAAAGTCAGGTTTGGGTTAAATGATAGAGGATAGGTGACCAGAATATGTCACAATTTTCTTAAAATAAAATTTATAAAGAAAAAAGAAATCTTTATCTAACGAGAATTGAATTCAGGTTGGATTTATCAACTATCTAACTGACAGAAAATATAAACAGCTGCACGTGAGCGACACGTGTACAGATCGGGATCGAACGTACATACATGCTGTCCTCATTCCTACAGTAGTAGGAAAGAAGCTAATTATCTAAACAAAAACTCTCATTCCCAATATTAATATCATATTATTAATATTATTACATAATAATGTTATTAAGGAGTCACATGAAAATACAAATTAAAGTATAAAAAACTATTTTTCAATACTTAATTTATCTATTTATTACTATATACAACTTATATCATTTATGTAATTATAAATGCTTCAGTTAATGTAATGTAATAGTATGATCCAATTGTCAAAATTTGTGATCAATAACTTAAACACGTTCAATGCATTTCCTCCAGTTTTCAACCGTAACATGTTCTAATGCCTTGTGAAATAAATTTTTTACATCTGCAAATTTGAATGTTGTATTATTTATTGTAATATAATTTTTAACTTGCGATCAAATCATTGAGATTGGATTTAATGCGTTCTGCGAGGGCCCTTTCAAGGGCCACTGCAAAGCGTCCCTGAGCGTCCAGTAGCCACACATCTGCGACCGCAGTCCTGATCACGTGAACTTTCTGTTTATATTTCCTGCCAGTTCTCGTTGAATTGGGTATAATATTTCACGTACTCCATTACAAATCTCCATACTGTTATCGTACAAAAGCTCGATGAAATTAAAGTCGAACAATTGTTGGGGTTCTTTTCTTGTAAGCAGAGCATATTTCCAATGCCTATCTATATAATGTGTAATTTTTGGACTATCTTAACCAGAATCTTTGCTCTGCGTGTATCGTGAATTCTTTTAAACGCGGACATTGGCGAGTTCTAAGCGAGTAAACCACAGTTTTCCCATACTATACCTAGCCTTTAACACGCCCAAGCCGAGGTTACGTAACTTGTAACCAGGAGTGGACAGGCAATGACGATGGATTTTTAAAGAATTTCACCAAATAAATGATAAATTATAAAGGATAAAGAAATAAAATTGTGAAAAGTGACTATATTTTTTAATAAATTTAATTACGTATTTTGTGTGTGTGTGTGTTTAAATTCTACTTGCAGTTCTTTTTATTAAAACATTAATTTTCTTTTGTTTAGTGTCTATTTAAGAATACTTTCTTCAAGTAATGTTTATTAAAATATTTTTTCCAAAAGCGAGTACTTTAAGTTGTGTGTACATTCGTACAGTGCCGGACAAAATGATAAGACACTTGATGTATTTGAATATTTCATGTAACACAATAGGATATACAGGGTGTCTCACCCGATTTTGACATCTTGATTTTCTCGCTATCAAAAAACTCGTAACAAAAAATGTTTCAGCGGAGGCTTGAATGGTATCGAGTGGAGCATATTCTGATGTTATTAGTTTTTTCGTGAGTAGACGCGTAAAGGTCATATAAAGGTCAACTTTGTTTTTTTTAATGGAACGAGGTATTTTTTAATACATCGATCGATTCAGCTGGACAATCGTTATAAAAAAGTACTAACTATGTAACGTCGAAAAATTAGTAGTCCAGGAGATATTTCAATTTAAATAATTCTAAAACACCATTACTGTTGTACTAAGACGTTAGCGTTTATTTACTGGGAGACACCCTGTATTTACATATTACTCACCTTATATATTAGATATGCCCTTCAAAGTATCCATATAGAATTGAAAGTTTATATCTTGTACACGAAAGAAATTAAAGTAAATAATGTAAACATGAATTGATTTTCGTCGGACAAAATGATAGAACATTATTAAAAAACACAATTGCTTGAACAGGAATATTTTGTCGAATACCAAATTAATATGTATTTAGTAAAACCACCTTTTCGCTCTATAACATCTACTAAGCGATTAGGAATTGATTTAAACAATTTTTTAATACGTTTTTGTCTTAAGAGCCTCCAATTTGTAACAATACTTTGTTTTAATTCTGTTACATCCTTGTACATATTGTTTTCTATTCTCATAAACGTTTCTTGAAAGTTCTGCCCATATATTTTCAATAATATTAAGGTCGGGTGAACGGGCCACTCGAGGCATGTTACATTTTTAGAACTAAAATAAGCTTTAACGCATCTTGCGGTATGTATTGCAGCATAAAAAAAATAAATGTACTGCCTGCAATACGAGTCGCGTGCTTATTTAACCGATCGTCTATTAATTCAATATATTTTTTGCTGTTTGCAATGCTAGATAAAAAGTTTGTGTCAGTTTTTCCGTAATATCCAATACCAGCCCACACAATGATACTTCCGCCACCCATTTGTCGACGGCTTAAATATTGTTCTTCTTTTCTTAGATCGAGGAAATAGTAATTCCAGACATCAGGATCGTTCAAATTAAATTTCTTTTCATCACTAAATATCACATTTCTCCACTTTTTTCCCACAAAACATGACCGCGAGCAAACTTTCAACGGGCTTCCTTATGTTGCTCACTTAGAGGAGGTTTTCTTTTCAGTTTTTTTCGTTTAATTTGTTTACTGCTTTGGAGTGCACATCGCACAGTTCTTACATTAGCTGAAACACCTGCTTCTTTAGCGATTTTTCTTGCAGTTCCCTTATAATTAAAAGCTACGTGTAATATGGCCCGTCTATCGCGTTCTGTTGTAGAACGAGGTCTACCAGTATTTTTCTTTTTTCCATAGATTTTTGGATTTTTTAAGAATTTATACACAATGTAACGGTTTCCATTTAATAACATCGCAATTTTCGAGATAGTTTGATTTTGTGATCGCAATAACAAAATTCGATCGGTTTCACTTCTATCTAATTGTTTTCCTCGACACATATTAACTTTAATGGCACAAATGTTGTAAATAAATACAAAATTTGCTCGTCTGCTTCTAGTCACTGCTGATAGATTACTGCTAGAGTCCATAATAACTGAAAATATTACACGCGTCCTATCAATTTGATCGACCAAAGCAGCCCATGTTTACATTTCTTTCGTGTATAAGATACAAACTTGCAATTCTATACAGGGTGTTCGGCCACCCCTGGGAAAAATTTTAATGGGAGATTCTAGAGAAAACCCCCATAAAAATGGTCCAATTTTCAAATAGCCATAACTCCAGAATAATGAATATATTTCAATGAAACTTTTTTCTGATGTCGAACTCATGGATATCTACAAGAAAGTATTAGACAACTTTTCTGTAGGGTGTCAAACAAAATTACTAAAAATCAAAAACGAATTTTTAAGAGAAATCGACAAAGGTAAGTTCCTAAATTTTTCGGCGAAAAAAAAATTTCAAATCGTTCTGGAAAAAATTATTTTCGGCTGCGGGAGTCAATTACAATCGTTTTTAGTGAATAGACATACCCCCAAAATCCTGCGCATTTTCGAGAAATAAATTCAATACGGGCGGAACTTTAAACGTTAATAACTTTTTAATGAAGCCTCAATCAACAAATAGGTATTCTTGATTTTCGTCTTGTTTTGGCCTCTAGAATCTCCCATTAAAATTTTTTCCCAGGGGTGGCCGAACACCCTATACATAGATACTTTGAAGGACGATACATTGAAGTTTGGCCAACATATTTGCGTTTCCATTATACTGTACGACGCGTTTATTCAAATAACCAATTAATAAAAAGAAAACATTTGAGTAAGCAACACAGAATAATCTTCTTAATAGTATGCAAAGTAGAATATTTAAGCTTGTTAGAAGTAACGGTGAACGTTTCGTAGAAAGCTGCACTTTTAATAAAGAGTATTTATAATACTATGGCATGCATATTTCGATTGTTTTGATAACAAAAAGTTCATAAAAATAGGAAATGCTTACATTTTTCAGTATATGTATATGTTTTTTGGTATCGGCGTGTAACGTAAAAACAATTTATATGTAAACATAAAAATCAAGGCGTTTATAATCATACGGAGCAGTGTATTGGTGAAATTCGATCGTTTCGTTCGACGACACTCTATATAATCGTTCAGCGTCATATGCAAGACTCTTAGATAGATAATAAAACGGTTTAATTGGATCTAGTTTCAATTTGAGTGACGAATTAATCTTAACGAAGCCCCGGCCGTTCGTTAATTGAATCTCGTCGCGAGTTTCGCGTCGACGATAGTGGTTGTTGATAGTTGTCGCGTCGTTTCGAAATTACAACGAAACTATACAGAGCTGTAATATTGATAAGTGGTACGAAACGATAGCGCGTGATCGAAGAATTGATTATTGCTGTTGTAGAACCCAGTTCCCGCGATCCGATGGTAGAATCAACAAGCAGCGATAACAGCAGCGACACAAACGAGCCAGTTTGTGCACAATTATTGACGCAGTTGAATACAGCGTATCAACACCTTGCTCCTGATGCTCAGGCACTGGTAAGCGCTCGAATCAAATCGTCATTCTTCTTTAATAATCGAGACATTGGACGGAAAAATGGCACATTTAACAAAACTACCATTTCGAGAATATTTCAAAATTTGTATTATGGCATTATTTAATGAAATACAATTCTCGAGACATATGTACATAGCACTGTATGCCCTTGAACGTTCTGGAAACAGATATTTGATCGATGATTCGATGACGACGCGTGTCTTTTTTATAACGTTTTAAAAATTGATTTGTGTTCATCTTTCATAAACGAGATAAGATTATGAAGAAATCGTATTTTTTCTTCGTTATGTTTGTCTACTAATTTATTCCAAATCTTTAACAAATGGTTTGAAAATAAAACAAAAATAAAGAACTTGATTTTCTTAAATAACTTTTCTGCACGTTAATTAATATCCTCCTTTCGTTTGGTACAGTTTTTTAAGAACATTTTTAATCTGTATTTTGCTATCCGCATCCGGTACTACTTAGATTAACACGTTAACTGTCACCCAATATTAATGTTTCATTGCATAATAGATTTTAATCAAAAAGTTGTCGCATTTTCACGACATATTAATACGTTAACTGCGACGCCAGTTTTCCATGTCCAAAGATGTTCTCGACATTTGTTCAAATTATAGCGTGAAACATAGAAATATTCGACAATTCACTGGTAAATTTGTTAATCTCCAATATTTCAAATTAAAGTAGCGTTATTTACGACTTTACAAGTATTAGGTGACCACCGTGGCAATCAAGGTGTTAAATTGTAAAGACTAATTCTTTGAGGAATCCAAGATTTTTTAATATGTTTTAGAATCCTGGAGAGTATAGGTTTTGAATTATCTTTTTGCCAGTTAGAAAATAACAAATAACAGTCACTTTAAATAAATGAGTTTTATACACATTATTGACTGTAATGCCAATTGTAGAAAATAAAGCATTACAGATTTAAGTAAACGAAAGTCTTTTTATGGTTTCGATAGTCTTATTGGAGAATAACGTTCATCTAATATTAAATATTCAGCGCTTTATTCGTCGCGCTACACTAATCGTGCTAAGCGACTTTATTATCGTTTCTGTCGTCTGCATAATGATTAATAACTTTATACTTTCAATTTCGAAAGTCTGCGATTAGATTTGCAAGTCCTATACTCGGCATATTTTGGTCTGCTTGGCACAATCAAGGAATACCTTGCCAAACGTTACGACCCATTGTTGCAATACATCTACGGTGACATTCTTTTGCGTTTAACAAACCTTTGGCCGAGATATTGTGATAACGTTATCTTCTTAATAACATAAACAGTATCTGTCTATGAATGCACCACACTCAAAGCAAGTGTATCAAAGCGATTAATTGATACTTCTCTGGCTTGTTTAGTGCAACGATAGAGATCATTTGGACTGTGCCTGCTATACCGCGTTATTAAAATATATTTTCACGTATAACGTTTTATGAAATTTTTGGCATGTGACATATATTTACAAGCTACGTATCGTGAAAATAAGATAGCTGTCTAGCTTTCATGATAATTGGCCTTCTTCTAGAAATACAGAAATATTCCTACTCGTGACTATCCTTGGCTGACGTATATTGCACGTCTAAAACTTTAATCGCATTGCTCAGAATAGTCAGCACGGGAGCGCCTACTCGAATGACAGTCGAATGAAATTACATTCAGTTTGTGTATCATACGGTACCGTTTACTTTTGTTTTTATATTTTTTTTGTATCTCTAATCGTTTTAGAGATACATACATTTTTATAGTTGCGTGGGTTAGGTCTGTATAAGCCATATGTTTTATATGTCAAAAAATACAGCTCGATGTAACCAGAAATGGACAATAATTTTTATTTTTCCAGATGCTTTACTCAGACCACTTTCATAATTACTAACGCAAATAAGACAATTTTTGTTTGTAAATGAAATGAGCTTCTTTTGTTTTTTTTTATATTTAAATAAATTATTCGTCATGGATCATAGATTTTATATGGATAAATCATCGATCGAAAACTATATAAAATTTGTCGACTTATTAATTAATTATATTTAAGATCTTCAATTATTTCATAATACCACAATAAAATGTAGATATGTTATTGATTCTTAAAAAGAATTTTGTGTTTTCACATTTACCGTGATAATATCTTAAATACTTTATTGTTTACAATGTTCCTTAGAGAGAATTATGAAAGCGGCCAAGTAAAACTTAAATATTGTCTATTTCTCTGTTCATCGGCGAAGTTTTATGTGGTTCAGCTTGCTGCGAGAATTGTTTTTCACTTTCGTGTACTAACATATTTTTATTTTAACTAATGGAGGTTGGGTATTACTTTTCATTCGATCCTTGTTGAATCAGAAGGATCACTGATACGAATATGCAAGATGCTGGGAACTAATTTCAATCACTCGGATCGTTGCCACACTCCATTTCGAGAATTACAGCACTGATACAAGGTGCGTCGAAAAAATTCCGGAACATACTTTTATCACATGTTTATATTACCTATGTACAGAAGAAATATTGCATATAATCAGACAAAAATGTTATTAAATAGTTTGAACGAAAAAAATTTGAATTTTGTCGTCTTTTTTCTTAAAATCTTGAAATGCTGGATAGAAGTTGTTGCCGGATATCACCATGCTAAAATGTAAAGGAAACGATGTTCAACGTATCAAGAAAAAAATTCAACTGCAAATGGTATTGAATAATACCAATAAAGTAAAATACTGTCGTGTTTAGCGTATAATTGCAAGGCTAAAAATTGAATGCATCATAATCATTTTATTTTTCCTTATTCCGTGACACGTTATTTTTAATTTTAAAAAACATTTATCTTCTTAATTTGTTTCTGTCGAGAGTTGTAGGAATTTCATGGTAACTTGGTCAATTTGTCTCGCTGTGGCGGCGTCGATTCCGATTTGTAACAGATTGGAATAGCTACCTACATATGTGTATTCTTTCATTCTGGAGGGACATTATCATTATCTGTGTGTTTACTAATTCATCGCTTGTTGCTTCCTAACATCATTACCAACTTTCACTGTAACTGTTTAGTTTTACAATCAGGAGAGTGGTGGAAAGCCGCCGTTGGTTGGGATCCAGCTAGTGGTACCGAAGCCCCCAAAGGATTATCGTTTCATGAAATGGAATTGGCCGCTGATACGGAAGACTTGCTTCTGGTCTCTGATGTCGGTGTTAGCGGGCTGCACGGCGCTTGTCATCGGTGTTATTGCCACCATGCCCAAGAAGTATGTGAAACAAACACACTATGGTGAAATCAATGAAAGAATCGACTTTGGAATCCTGTCAACTGCTTTGTCGAGTAGAATTTTCTTAATTCTGTATTATTGTCTCTAGCAATGGAATCGAGCATGAAATGTATAAAAGTATACGAGCCGTTTATTTTGAAAATGGCTTAAGTCTATTTACATTCAAATCGAGATATTGAAAGGTTTGCGTTGGATTAAAGGGTATAGCCGGATAAGATGGTCAAACGTGCCCTTGAGCCAAACTGATCAGTGAACATATCAGTTAATAGACCATTCAAAGAAAATCATTTGTGTCAAATATCAACCCCGTACCCTTACTGAGAGGGTAGTTACAGGGCGTAACGCAATTTTCAGTTTAAGCTGTATATCTTTTGTTGTATTGTATCAAAGATTTTGAAAAAAATTGGGGGTATTTTGCTCTACGGCGTACGTGTTTGTGAATTTTTTCAGAATTTTTCACCGCAAAATGGATTTTTAAAAAATTCGAAAATTATAAAAATATTTTTTTTTAATAGAAATTATTAAATGACCACGTTTATATTTGTACAGTGTTAGCGTCTTGTTATGATTATTAATCTATAATTTTTTCAGATTTTTAGAAATGGGGGAGCGATGTTGAAAAAATCAAAAACCGACATTTGCTTGTATTTTTACCTTAATTTTTGTTGTGACCATGTTCGTATTGTTACAATTTTAATAGCTTGTTACTGTTATATAATTTTTTGAGATTTTTTGTGTAGGTGTATCACATACAAAATAATTATAAAGCGATATTTCCTAAGTTTTCGTTCGCAGAGGAGTAATATATTCGGGTAATTGATATTTTTACTTCATCGAATGATCATTATATGCATGCTCAAAATAGTTTTACATGTATCAAATAATATAAAACTTAAAACCTTAGGAATGTCGAAAAAGACATCAATGAGTGACATTAATGAATACTTAATCTTTTATGAGTCATATTCTGAGAAATTCTAATGAGAAATTCTAATAAAACAATAGCTGCAATTCTCTTAATTCATACATGTAAAACTATTTTTGATGGCTATGATTGGACTTACACCACTTTCAAAATCGATGAAATGACGTTTTTAATTCTTAAAAAAGCACAAGTCCATAGGAAAAGTTGAAATAAAAATAAATGTCTACACTTTTATGTCATGAAATCAAAAAAATATTCAACTTTTATTCTTTGTTAAATAATTTTTACATTAAAATTAATATTGTTTTATTAATTATTATTCAGTCTTCTCCAGTTGTGCATGTGGGAGGGACTTAAAATAACTATGTTGTGCAGGTGGTATACATGTAATAAATCCAGTAAGTCCTTGTATTTTACCTGTTAATTATTTAATTAATGTTGAAGGTGAATATTTTCCAACATGTTGAAATTTATGATATTACAAAAAAGCACAAATTGAGCAATCCGAATTTAAGAAAACTGTAGAAACAAGTAAAAATACTCAGCAAGTGTGAACAATGCATTTCTTTCTGTGGACAGGCGGTGTTCTGTGTTTATAACAAATTCATTGCACATTCATAATTCAACTGCTATTTTGATAACACTATGCAACAAAGTAAAAAAGCTGGGATCTTATAAAATTTTCCATATCCATTTGAAACTCTCCCAATGGGATTTACGCCACTTTCAAAATAAACTTTTTCATCGCTTCATTAACCAGCAAATTTTCGTGTTACAAAATCTTAATGATTTTAAATATATTAGTAACAAGTTGCTTCAGAATGAAAAGATCATGTAAAAATGTACTATTAAGGTAGTTAACTCGATTTTTTTTGGAAAATGGATTTACATCACTTTCAAAAAAAACGGCTCATATATGTATTTCAATCTTCTTTTGCATGACTTGAAATTTATTTAAAATTCAGTTATTAATATTTAAACACTAATTTTTTATTTATACACAAGCATATTTAAAAACATTTATAGTATATAGTGTAAGATAATAAATACATACACTTTATTTCGGATTTTATAACTTCTTAGGAGAGGAGGGGGGTGGGGGATGATCGTCACTGAAAATTGATTCTTAAGTACATATGCTTTAATAAATAATTGTTTGAAATAATTTTAGAGAGAAAAAGTATATTTTTAAAATTTTAGTGATAATTATAATCTGGAGAAAAACATACTGCATTTGATTCTAACACTAATTCTACATAAATAATCATTGAAATCAAGTATCATGTATTATCTATCATTCATCGTTTGAGGAATTTATTATTATATTACATTCGTTAATTCATTGTATTAAGTAGTGATTGGTTTTACAACCAAAGAGTGGTAGAATTGTATAATTAGAACAGTTGGACTAAACTATAATAATTAGCCAAGTCGATTATTTCCATGATTTCATCATAGAGACATAGTTTACTCCAAGAAGTACACAGTTTTACACTTTGTCACCATTGAATTGAATTTCAGAAGGCACAAAACGGACAATTACGATTACACTTTAAATCATTTTAATCGATATGTGTTCAGAATGTTCATTTGCAAAATTACAGAGAAAAGGAAAAACATTTGTATGGGATATTTTTTTTATCACACTTCATGTTAAAAATTGTTATGTCGAAATCTAAAGTCTGTAGTATTTAAAAGGAAATTAAATATATTCTAAAAACAGCGAGAAGTGAATTTTAAAACAGACTGTACTATTGCTCGATAAAAAATGGAGAGTATTTTGAAAATATGCTTCGGAGATTGTGCAAAATTATTGTGTGATTTTGTTTGTACTTAAAAGTTTACATAAAAAAATAAAATTTTCATTAATATGACTTTGTCATCACTTAGTTAATAAAAAAAAAATTATCAATATTAAAATTGAAGAAATTACAGAGGTTCTAAAACACATAATGGTGTTGTTTATTATACCATTCAATGTGTTCCCATAGGTGCGATCCAAGAGTACAATGGTGGCAGGGCAGTATTTTCTACGAGATATTCCCGGCCTCTTTCCAAGATTCTTCGAAGGCCAGCGACGGTATCGGCGATCTTCGTGGGATAACAATGCGTTTGGACTATTTGAAAAAGCTAGGCGTTCGAGGGATTCGTTTGAACTCGATCTTCCCAGCGGCTCATTATCCCGAATATTATTGGAACATCAAGAATTTGACAGACGTGAACAAAGATTTGGGAACGTTAGAGGACTTTGCCACGCTCGTGCATGAAATCCATCGACGAAACATGAGCCTGGTCTTGGATTTGCCTCTCTATCCGTTCGTGAAAAATTTGTACGACGAGAACGTGGCTGTCGAGAAACCGAACAAAACTGACAAAGCGGTGCGCGAGAGAAGAGACGTTACCGATGACGTAATCTTACAGAAGGTGGTGCCGACGACACCGTCCATGTCGGTGCAAGCAATTCGGGAGTTACTGCCATCGATACCGCCGCCATTGGACAAACCACAGCAACAAGGTCTCACGTCAAATCGCATAACCGCGGCGACAGAGAATCCTGTCATGTCGGCGATAAAAATCTGGCTGCAAAGAGGAGTCGACGGTTTCTACTTGAAGGGGCTCGAACATTACGTCGACGAGGAATCCTTTCCAAGTAACCTGAACCAGTGGAAGTCTCTTCTGGGATACGACAGAATACTGATTTGTCACATGGACGCTTTAACGGCTGCAAAATCTGCCGCCGCGAGAAATTCCATACTGAAGAAGATGGATCTTGTCGATGTCACGTTGCGGGTTTCAAACGGAACGAACGTGATTAAGAAACAAATAGAGGATGTCACGAAGGGCTTGTTGTTCGAGAAACCTGATTACCCGTGGGTACATTGGTCCATAGGCGGAGTGGACTCGAAAAGAGTGGCGTCCATGATTAGCGTGAAGAATGCCACAATGGCTATCTCTCTTCTAGGAATGATACTTCCAGGGACACCGAGTATATTTTACGGAGACGAGGTACACAGTTGGAATATAACAAGAATATATTGTAACGTATATCATAATGTAATATACAATAATGTGTATAATCTGAGAAGTAGTAATCGATGATAAATACGACACGTCGGATGCTGACTATCAGAAGTATTGATTATTATCTGTAATGCACTGCCTCTAACATATGGAATCAATATGCAAATCAGATGATAAATCTATAACATAAAGCGAGACAAGACTGTTATATAAACGTTCAGTGTCTAGGGTTTATTTTCTAATTTATAACGAATATATTGATCTGCCGTACATTGAGATGTCTCATCGGTGTGTATTGTCTCTTAAAAGCGATTTCCTTAGAATGCTTAAAATAGGTATATGCATAATCCAGCATAAATACGTATAGTCATTTCATTCCTTTATTCATTTGCATAGAAATAGTAGGTAACTATTAGGTGCAGAGTGCTTAATATTTTGCTTCGTTGATAGGGAAACGTAAACAATAATCCGATTACGTTGAAGTGCGTGACTTCCATACATTTTCTTTTTTTTTTTTTTAACTTATCATACCTCGGAAAATAAAGCCTAGACCTTCAATATACACCATTATTTGCTTTGTTATTGCTTGTATTGAATATACAAAAATTTTTTTAAATCTGTTCAATTCAAAGCCTTCTATTCAAATAAAATTTGTGTTTAGATAGGTATACCAGATTGCGACTGTGAAGATCACAAGGATCTTGCTCGCGTGCACAACTTAGTTCCCATGTATTGGGATCCGAATGATGGATCGGGCCATAAGTTTGCGTCCGTGGGCGTTCGAGGTTGGTTACCGGAAGCTACAAAACCATTAGAAACAAGTTTGATGGGGACCATTGCCGAGATGGCTAATCTGAGATATAAAACGACTCCAATTTACGTTAAAGCTGTGCTGAAAGAGAATCAGGTGCTGGCGAACTGTGATATTAGGTAATTGGTTTTTATTTATAGCTTTTTCATGAAACTGGATAATTTCGGGACGCACCATGTTTCATATTTTATTTATAACTTTTTATAAATTCAGGTAAACATAATACACTGTTTAAATCTTTTTAGTAAAATATAACATTAAATTTATAAAACACTTATTTTATAATTATAATTTTCTCTTTTTAAAACTTATAAAAAGTACATCTAACCCTAGACCCTAACTAAAAATGCACTTCTTTATTAATACCTCTGTTTAGATAGCATATTCAATGTACTTTAGACTTAGTTTTATTATATTTTTCTAAGCGTTCTGTGCAATTGTTTAAAGAGTTCTCGTCATTATTAATTTATTCTTTTGGTTTTCCTTTGGCTTTTTTTGTACCACTTTTCTTCCTTTTGTTTTATTTTATATGATACTTTTCTTTTCTGAATATTTTTTGGGCTTGTTAGAACTTGTGTTTTAGAAACTCTTGCAGTACTTGTAGCAAGTAAAACTTTTGTTCTTTATTCAATTATACAATTGAGACATTGGATGGAAAAAGGGACAATACTCCAAAATGCCATTTCGAGAAAATCAGATTAAAAATTTTAAATACTCACATTTTCATCACAGTAGGTATACAAGTGTGCTGCTTCACATCTGTTGGAAAGCAGCTGAGTTAATTGCGATACGTGAGCCTGTATACATTTTTATCACAATATATAATGTAGAGAATAAACACCCGTGTAACAGGTTTCACGCGTGCCCGAATTCGTATAATATGACAATTTTTACAGATTTTTAATGTGTCTTTTATTCTCCACAGATATGCTGATGACGAAATGATTGTAATAGAACGATGGTATCCACGGCGAAATTCGTACATCTTTCTAGCTAATTTAGGCAATAAAACGCTAACCAAGGACTTAAGTTTTCTTTATTACGGTGGTCAGGTCGTAGTCGGTCCGTCATATAGACTGAACCGGGACGTCTACTTCAAGGAACTTATTGTGCCTCCGGGAGAAGCGTTCATTATAAAACTCGATAAATGAAAAGCTGGTTGCTAAATAAAAGTTTATATAACATTCATTTTACATACGATCAAGATGTTAGGGTTTTTAGTTGATATTTCAAGCGTGAATTCGTAACGTTTCATTTGGGTGAGAAAGATATTGTCGACGTTGCGAACGTTGTACAACGAAGATTTAATATAAAAGTTCCTATTAATTGTAATTCAAATACGTAGGAACTGCAGCGTCCATGAAAGTATTATTTGAGAAGCGAAAGAAAGTTCATTCGAGGGAAACTGATTGTATTGTAAAATAAAAAGCAACAAATTGTGCTATTCGAATGATTTCACGTAGGCGGGTGAAATGTGCTTGGATAAAAAGTAATCAAAAAGTCATGCAGAATCAAATTACACGTTATATCGTTATTGTTAATCTTGTTAGTAATATTGGAGAAGCATAATGAATGTTCGCGCATTTCACATTCCAAAAGAGGACAAATCATTTTACACTTGCCTGTGTTCATTCTCGTGATTCAAATTTACAATGCGAGATTGTTTCACTGTGTTTTGTACCTTCTGATAGTTTTGATAATAAAACCGAAGATTTTTGTGATTGTATCGATTACTTCCAGTCGCAGTACAAATTTCACTTGAAATTTTCAATGTTTTATATTTACAAAGTGTACGGAATTTATCCCTGTCACTCTCGGTACGTTTTCGAATTTCAAAATTATCGCCGTAAATTATATATGGACTATTTTTATAATGAATTTTATCGCGTGATAAGAACTGTTCGCAACGTGTAATTACTTACTTATTTTATAATAATTTTTGGTACTAATACAGTGACATTTTACCGATGCGTGAATAATATGGTGCTTATGCGAGAGAAAAGTTTTTTGTATTTTTATTCAAATACCATGATACGCGTGTCCTCTTATCACGTGTGCGCTCGTTGAACTCGAAATATATTCCAGTACAACCTTTAAATAGTATTAAAAGAGAAATATAACAATATAATCTATAAAGTATTCTGCGCAAGTAGATTTTTACTTTTAATGAAGTTCAATTTTGATGTGAATTTTATTATTCAGAAATAAAAGATAGTATTGCCCCATAAGCTTAAATTTTAATTGCACATTTCCTTATTTACTTTTTAATTATTATTACTTCCGGTATATAATATGCAAATTTTATGTAGTTGTTGCAATCGCATAATTAATAACGCGTAAATTTTAGAATCAATGGTATACTACGAAACTTTCAATAGAAAATCATTATTACGTTTTTACTTTTTTAATATTCTTTAATATTAATATTCTCTAATTTTAATATTCTCTAATATTAAAGAAATAAAAATAGATACAAGCAGAACGATATTAGTTGGATTTATATTATTTTAAAGAAAGTTATAATATATCCACGGAGATTCGATTTTGGAAACCGTGGATGCGGAGGTTTCATATTTTCGATTCCGTTTTCTTTCCTTCAATATTCGTTTAACAATTATGATCGAAACAATTAGAAAATCGATTTTAACTTTTGCATCGATATATTTGTAAATGGTATTGCAGCGCAAGTGAGCGTCACTGTTTTTTTCCCGCAAGTGCTCGGTCGTGGGTATGATTCATATATAAGGCCGCTCCGAAACGAGTTGAACGTGAAGTTTCCTCGAGCAACACTGCGGAGCCACAATCGGAGTCCATAGTGACTCTCATGCTCTGAGGAAAGTCCCTGGACCCATGGCAGAAAGTGTCGTAGCACAAATGCTGCTAACCTCCGCAATCTTCTCGCTACTTTAGAAAGGAAGCTGTGTTTTGGCTGATCTTTGAGTTGTGCGGAGCGTATTGGTCAGAGAAAAGCAATGTGTCGTAATGAAATTCTTTCTCCCACTTTCTCGAAAGAGGGGGCTGGAATATGGTTAAACTCAACAGGGCTCATTACGAGGAAACTTCTTTTTTTGCTCAAATTTACCCTCCCCCTATTTTCAGTTGTTATTGAATCGTTAGGATAGTGCGTAATGAAATTTTAGTAATATTCAAACTCAGGATATTTGTAGAAAATCAATATTTTAGCTTCAAAATTCCTTCCTGAAAGAACTTTCGATCTTTTTTAGCGATGAACCATTCTAAAAGATTTTTTTTTAAATCCTATATTGAATTCAACTTTTTTCCATTAAAAAAATATTGTTTCGTGTTAAGTAAGTTTGTTTTGTGTAGGTAAGATAAATGTAGTAAGAACTTAGATCCAATGAGAGTTCAATAATTTTTGTAGTATATTTTGTAGTATATTATGTAGCATAATTTTTGTAATCTTACTGGAAAATGGCACTCTTCCTATTGATCATTTTTAGCCATCTTTGATTTTTAATTTAATTGATTCGATTGGAACCAACGTTTATCCGAATTAGGTGATTTTTTATTCTCTATCTATGCACATACAAATACAAATTTATTCTACTACTAGTGTGAGTTTAAACTCACTCGAAACATAATCCAAACCTGTTCCAAGGTTTAATGATACGATATTCATATAGTATACAAAATATTTTTGCGATTATTTCAAAATATAAGTTGTGTGTTTTAGAACTTTAAATTTAAATAACTCTCGTCCCTCTGTATGCATTTTATCACATGTTTTCTTTATCATAGAATTGAATTGATCAAGGAGTGAAGTTTCATCTTTTTTGCTTGCGGAACAGTAAGAATTTCTTTCTTATTTTTATTAAGAGCTACGTAATATTACAAATACTGTTTGCATTGCATTCGGAGTATACGAAACATCTTATTAAGCCAAGAAATTAAGTAGGTTGTGCTACCAGTAAGTTTCAAAGTTATCGTGTACTTTATCATAGCCCATTAAACACAGTTTTCAAGAAGCAGCTAATTATCCACTGAAAATGAGCAACAAAATTCCTTGGTTAGGATCGATTGAGAATCTGAAATCCGTGTACTGTTTAATATATGAGTACATGTGTATTGAAATATACGCGTAACAGCATTGGAGCAAAAGTTATTTCGAATAACGAATAAATTGATTTCATTCATTTTCTTTTTTTGTTCTTTGACTTATTTGTTATTCTTGAAATTATATGGATTCGTTTAAGCAAGCAATGAAATGTCGTTTGTTTTCCTTAATTCTTACTTTCCATCCATCTTCAAGTGCAGAGAAATAAAGCAAATTTTGTTTATTTGACTTCATAACAAATATACAAATAACGAAGACAAATGACGTATAAAAGGTTATCGAATTATAATCGAATAATGCATAAGATTCCAACCATCGTTTCTCATTTGAATATATTAAATAATACATGAATTTTAGCAAGGATATATTAATTACACGTGTTCACGTATGTATGTCTTAAATACACCTTGAAAATCGTGATTTCTAGTAATATAAAGTGAATACTTAATACCAAAATTGCTTGAATTATTTATTATAGCCTTTGGTGAAACTTTGAGGCGAAACTTTTTTTGTATTTTCTGTTTGTACTGGATGTTCACAGATGGAATATAGCCCTTTGGGCGTAGAAGCTAATCCAAACTATTTCATCATAAAATTGCAACTATCGAGACACTACGAAACGTTTGAAATACTCGCAAGAACTGTTTGACCAAAATGTACGAGTCAGTAGATGTAAACAAACGAAACAACTCAGTAGACCGGAAGTCTGTTTATATTTGCTGACTCGTGCCTTTGAGCCAACTAAAACTAAGGTAGCGTCAAAGTAAACTATGGAATACAATAAAAACATCAAATTGTTCATATGCAAAAACAATACCAGTATATTTCATTATTATTCGTGATGTTGCAATGCATAATAATTATTGCAGGAAACCTCTCTAAGTTGCAATGCGTCTCTCATACGCCGAATTAACTTTGTGCGAGGATATTAGTTTTGTTATTCAAATTTTATTTATTAATACAATTTTATTTATATATTATATTTCTTATTCTACAAAAAGATAAGCTATTTATTGTAGATCAAAAATACATAAATAATCTTTTCCTAATATTAATGTTTCATTGCACAATAGACTTTAATCAAAAAGTTTAATTCACATTAATACGTTAATTGCCATGCCAGTTCTGCATGTCCAAAGATGTTCTCGACATTTGTTCAAATTATAGCGTGAAACATAGAAATGTTCGACAATTCAACGGTGAATTTGTTATTTTACAATATTTCAAATTAAAGTATCGTTATTTACAATTTTAAAAATATTAGGGATCTTCCATTGTAAACAATATTGCAACATGTAAGTTCAAAGTGCCGGTCACCGGTGACCATCGTGGCAATCAACGTGTTAATATTCGAACAGTCGCTAAACATCTAATAGCCCATTCTTGTTTCAGTCTTGTTTGTAACACAGTTTTGGAATTTATTAGTATTTTGATGAGCGAAATAATATAATTTATTAGCGATTGATGATTGTTTTGGGAAAATCAGGATCAGATCTACTTTAGAGCCCAATCAGCAAATTTACTCAATGGGCTTCAATTCTTGAATTGACTGGATCTTGTAAGAATGAAGACCCAAGTCTTTACACAGAATTCGCCACACAGAAGTTTGAAAAATGCCTGATTCTTGAGAACGTCCGCAGAATCGATAAAGTTGAATTCTCAGTATCAGGAAAATATTTCCCTTACAGTAGAAATATTCTTTCTCCCTTACGGTAGAGGAATGAGAAATTCTGGCAGTGATACGCTTATTTTCACTAAAAAAAGTAAATATTCGATTTTGACAAGCGATAGTGACACTGAGGCAGATAAAATATTTTATTAATATTTCATGTTGTTTCCACAACACTATGCCTCAATCCGAATTCGTAAAAATAAATTAGTTTTCCTTTCAACTGAGTATAACCTCACGTTATCAGCCAATTTGAAGTAATACGAAAACAATAGACTATAGGTTCTAATTTGATATGGAACAATCTACTAACGATTTTCGTTCGTGAAAGTAAGATGAAATCTATTAGTTTGGGAACAGTGCCATTTCATGTGCATCAACTTGTGTGTGTTCTGACTAAAGAATTCAATTAACCATTTGGCTACGAAAGGCGCATATATCTTACAAGTCTATCAATATACAGGGTGTCCAAAAGGTGTTACTCACATCAAATACATAAAAAAAGTACATATTTATGTCCGAAAATGCTTTATGGAAAAGATATAAGCTTTTAAAGATATCTATGATTTATTATGCTAGTTTTAAAAATACATTTACTGTTATTTCTAATACTAATTCAACGAATGAAAGCTTCCATTCTTAAAGAGAAAGGAATTTTCGAACACTTCTAGTAACTGTCATGATAGATCATAAATATCTTTAAAAACTTATATTTTTTCAATAAAGCATGTTCGAGCATAAAGGGTATAGCCGAATAAGGGGGTCAAATGTGCCCTTGAACCAAATGTGACATACGATGGATCCGATAGAGCACCAAGAAAAAACGTTCTGTGCCAAATTTTAACCCTTTATTTTGTTTGGAAAGGTAGTTATTGAGAAAATTTCGGATTAACGAATTTGTGCCTATTTCCCCTATTTAATCGAGTACGAAAATTATGAAAAAAATCTGGTGCATTGTGGTTATTGAGATACGTGTTTGAGAATTTTTTCCGATTTTTCGATTCCAAATCCCAGGTGTGAAAAATTGAAAATGCAAAAAAACACAGAAAAATACGGATTTCATATTGAAGCTTTCGAGACACTAGATTTATATAATTACTGTAAATGTGTATTGTCATTGGTTATCTCCCTGAATTTTTTCAGATTTTTTGGTAGGGTGCGCCGTAGTAGCAAAAATCAAAAACCGATTTTTTCGACGTTTTTCGCGTGAAAAAGCATCTTATACTTTGAATTTTTGTATTCTCTTTAATGGATAACTATATTGTATGGTTTTAAACATTTCTATGTTGAGCAGAACAGTGTATACAAGAAGAAAAGCAAAAATAAGTCACGAAAAAAAGTGCTATGTGCGATATATCAAGAAGTATCAACGATATTTTCAAGAGCTGCGATGGTGCAGTAAGTAAGATGCTTGATTGTGAGACTGCGGCAAACTTTTTGACGCGCGTTCGCGCCCTGCTAAAGTAAACTAAACG